GCTATTTATATTAACGTTTATTGACCTTTCCTACAACTATTAAAAAGTATTGCCTGAAGTTAAACCACTACTAACATTTCTAATGTCATATATTCCTACTACATAACCAACTACCAAACATGGGACTATAACATAACTTGTTAATTCATTTTTTTCTCAGTAAAGAACTATTATATAACACTTTTCAATACATTTTCATTCTTTATGCTAATGAGTTAGGACTCAAACATCCATAACACTGACTATTGAAATAATTGAAATTATAATTGAGTTTATTTGATCATTGTTTATTTTACAATTTAATTACTCATTTTAAATTTACATGTACATCTAAAATACATTACATCTGATACTGCATCAAATAAATTGATCCATGCGGAAGCTCATGTATTTTATATTGTATCAAAATGAATTTACCTGTGCGGGCGCATCATATAAATTTAAAACATGTATTCTTTGTGATTTGACAACATGTCATGGCTATATTAATCCATTATGAGCATTTGATGCAAGATCACTGATAAGGATTTTCTAAGCAATATTTAGTTAATGTAATGTAACGGGTTTTATGTCGTGTCTGTAGCCAAAAAATAAGAGATTCATCGTATGGGATTTGCTAATATCGTCAAATAACTCAAAATTTGATGTATTTGATCTTTTTATTCCATACAAGTTTACGATAAAATTGTATGTTACTCTATTGCTCTAAAAAAATGAATCATGTATAAATATTACTTTAAAAAATTAAAAGTCTAAAATCTTGATTATGTATTTCAAATTTTTTACTATAATGTTTAAAATGTGATTGAAATACTTCGTAAAGTTACACGAAATACTATCAGTTGAATTCAAATAAATAAAAATCTGCATAAATATTACTCTTAATGTGCATTTGAATATACTTTTTCTTGTGAAATTTAAATTCGATAAGATTATACTCTTTCTCATACCCGTGCGGACACACGGGTCTTCTACTAGTTTTAAGCTAAAATTCTTATAAGGATGCAAATTGATTTGAAAATTTAATGACATAGGTTGAGGAATCCATAGAACTCGGATTATTTTGTATTTTGTATATTGAAGAAACGAGGGTGAATAATCCATAAAACTGTGATCTACTAAAGGATTGTAGGAGAATTTTAAAAATATGTGAGAATGGAAGAAAAAATGTATGCAACTCTTTCTACAAGTTTTTAGGGTTTGGGGATTATATTTTTTTTATAAGCAGGTTTGGGGGATTATTAACCAGGTATGAATATAAATCAATGTTTTAACTAAATTTTGATAGTTTTGGACCCAATAAGAATACTTACTCTTTATCATTTTCATTGTCTCCATCTTTTAACTTCTTCCTATGTGATTTGGAAACTAAATATTTTTTGGAATATTCTTTTCCTCGGGAGTAGAATTGGAAAAACTATATTAGTATGTATTTTTTTTCTAAATCAATGAGTATCGAATACTAATTATTATTTTTTAACTGTTTACACATACCATAAATAAGTTTTTACACATACCATGAAAATTAATGTTACTTTTTAAATATTAATGCTCTTTTTATCTATAATATTTTTAATTATTTATTACGTTTATTTTATTTTTTCCCTCTCTATAATAAATATTTAGGATTATTTTTGATAAAACTGTAATTATTGTTACCTTAAATCTTGCAAGTGACAATTAAAATAAAACAAAAATTTATCTTAAAAAATGACACTTAAAAAAGAACAGCCAGAATAATATAATAGTGATGTTCCAGTTGGATTGATTTTCTAGGTTCTAGCATCTTATTATATCCGGTTTGTTTATGGTTAAATTTCAAATTTATAAATATTTATAAAATATTTAAAATTGAGTTATTTTATTTTAATGGCTGTTGTTTTACTATAATGCTGGGCCGGAGGATTTGTTTTCTTTAAAGTGACAAAGAGTGAGTTTTTATCTTACTAAATGTACTATCATATTTTTTTAAGCAACATAATATGTTAATGCTTAATTGAAAATAAGAAAAATGAAATAATTAATTGCAATCCAACAATTACTTGTATATTCAGATGAAAATACATGTACAATTTGGTGATTGGAATTCAAATGCACATTAAACACAACAAATTTAATCTCAAAATTACGTAAAATACAAATCAAAAATAAATTTAGAGATTAAAATTCAAATTAATCTTAAATACAACAAAATGAATCTTATAACCCTGTCAAATACAAATAAAAAATACGTCTGGAGATTGAAATTTAAATATATTTATTTAAGTGTGTGCGAATAGTTTTTTTCTCCCCATTTTATTACATTTGAAACAACTTCTAAACTTCACTCAAAAATATAATATAGCTCACATATCCAAATCTAGCATATTTTTCAACCTTGCTTTCAATATCTATTTCTGGTCATTCAAACTAAACACTTCATCAACTTTTATTCATTTCCATTTAAACTAAGCACATTCATCTCTCATATTTAGTTCCTCATATCCTTACTTTTATGATTTTTGATATGCCTGCATCTCCACTAATAACTTAATAGATTATATATAGGCTACATTGGGTTACATCAATAGAAATGCAATTCCTATTTAAATTTGATATAAATTTAGTTTATTTGATAATTATGATTGATATTTGATCTGGTTTTTACTTTCTGCGTATAATTCAATTTTTAAAATTTGGACCCTCATTACAAATAACAGAATTTGGATTTCTCATTTTATCATTCCATTACTACAAAATGCGTAAACAATAATGCCAGAGTAACAAAGGTTTCCTATTCACCGTAATCATGGGCGGTTTTAAGGCCCGGCCAGGCTGGGCATGTGCCCGGGCTCGGCCCCAAAATTTTGCCTTCTTTTATAAAAGAATATGAAAATTGTGGCGGTTAATAAGTGCTGTTCTGGCGGTTAAAAGTGCCACAATTAACGAAAATGCAGAAAAATAGTACTTTTGAATAAAATTTCTCATGTCATAATATATATTAAATAAAAAGGTGGTTTTTTGTCGTTGATAATGGCAGTTTTAACCGCCGTAATTTAAACAATTTTCATAAATAAAACATAACTTTTTTTTTCCTTTTTTATGCAATTAAACATACATTATATTAATGTTTTTTATATGATAATATTTAGATTCAACTACATTATAAAAAGTGCAAAATTAAAATAAAGTTGCTATTTAGGACCAAATTAACCAAAAACAAAAAATGAATACTTGAAAAAATAAAATTTAACATAAAAGTAGCAGCTACTAGAATTATAAAAAAAAACATATATAGTGTTGTAAAAAAGAAGAAGAAAATAATAAATTTTATCCTCAAATAATATAAAAAGTATATTAGGTCCAATTCTTCAATTTATGTTCACTCTAAATTATATGGTTCAATTGATGTTAACTAGAAATTTGTATTTTAAATTTAGTTTGTAGTTAGAGTAGTTAGTAAATAAAATTATGTTGTTAACTTGTTGCTAATTTCAAGAATTATTATGAATCACATGAAATGATATTCCATGTTAGTATCCGCCTCAAATTGGATATGGCTATGTTAGTTTTAAAATTCTGCCGAAATCAATTAAATTAAAAATCTTTTATTTTGATTAATAACTATTTATATATACAATATAAATTTATTGTCTTTAAATTTTTGCCCAGGCTTCAAAAACTTTCTGACTCCGCCACTGACCGTAATAATATGTGATATTTGGGAGTGTGTATTTGTTTATTTTATTAAAATAATTTTAGTCACGGTTAAAATTCCAATTGTGGTGAAAAGTGAGACCTTTCACCATGGTTATTTAAAAAATTGTAATTATAGGCAGCATCTGGTCATGGGTTCAAGCCCCAACACCAACATTTTTAGTTTTTTTAACTTATTTTTTAAAAATATTGACAGACATTTCATCACATGTATTTAAAAAACTGTGATTATAGGTAGCGTTTTTTACTTATTTTTTCAAAATGCTGATGGAATTTTCACCACGTGTATTTAAAAAATTGCGTCTGGTCATGGGTTCAAGTTCCAACACTAACATTTTTGTTTTTTTTTTACTTATTTTTTCAAATCGCATCACCAACATTATAGGTGGCGCGCTTGAGTTAGCAATGTTAGTTGCCGGTGCTCTTTTTTATTATTATTGTTCTTGTTGTTATTATTGTTGTTCTTGTTATTGTTTCTGTTGTTATTGTTATTGTTATTATTATTATTATTATTATTATTATTATTATTATTATTATTATTATTATTATTATTATTATTATTATTATTAGGCTTAATTGCAACTATGGTCCTTTTATTTTGTATTTTTTTGGGTTTTGGTCCCCCATTTTAAAAACCACGATTTTGACCCTTTTTTAAGTTTTGAGTTTGATTTTAGTCCCCTCTCCAATTTTAATTTTTTTTTAATGATGTGGCACTATCTAAGATGACGTGTCAATGCCAGGTCATTTTAAAAAAATTAATTTAAGACTTTTTTATTGACTAGGATAATTAACTTATTAATATTATTTTAATTAATTAATTAATCAAAATTTTAAATGAAACTCTTTGGGCCTTTAGTTATTGGTCCATGTCTTTGGTCCATCTTTCTAACCCACAATTGAATTATTGTATTTGTTTCAGCTTTATAAACACTTTTATGTCTTATACAAAAATCAATGTGAGACTTCTAAAATACATTTTATAGTACAATAATATCTCATTCTTGTTCATTGCAACAACTTCTCTTTTTGCTCTCAAATTTTTGTCCATTACAACAACAAGGAGAAATTAAAATGAAATTTCATTCCCATATACACATGGGTCTATATGGTGGCATTAAATATGAAAGTAAAGAAACAAAGTACACATCATGGGCCAGTGTTTACTGCCACACAGATCTATAATTACCAGAAGCACCAATTTTGTAAAAAGAAACAAGATTAAGTTTGGATATATTCTTGCATATATAGGATTCTTTCACATCTTGTTAATGCATGGTAATTTTTTTTTACTGTTTCTAACTATGTGTGAAAATTCAACAGCTGAAGTATTGGGATTCGATGATGACATTCCTCCATATGCATCAGCTAGTGATGATGCCATACTCAAAGGAGTCAATTTTGCATCTGCTGCTGGAATTAGAGAGGAAACTGGCTGGCAACTGGTATATTCGTATATTATATAGACTTTTTATCAATAAATATACGAATTAACAATTTTACGCTATCAATAAGTCACAAACAATCATTTTGTTTGTAGGGAGGGCACACTACTTCTAGTGGCCAAGTGAATAATTACCAAGAAACTGTGTCACGAGTGGTGAATTTACTAGGAACTGAGGATCAAGCTGCAAGTTACTTGGGAAAATGCATATGCCCAATCAGATTGGGTAGCAATGATATTCAACTGGTAGTCAGTATACACCAGAAGCCTTTGCTGATGTTCTTATTGAAGATTATACTGAACAACTTCGAGTAAGTTTCTAACTCTACACCATCAGTTAGTCATATATATAATTAACCGTAGAATAGTTGAAATGTAAGATTTACTGTTCATGTTTGTGATTCAGACTCTATACAATTATGGAGCAAGGAAAATGATATTATTTGGGATTGGTCAAGTAGGGTGCAGTCCAAACGAGTTGACCCTACATAACGAAGATGGTACAACATGTGTGGAAAAGTTGCTGCAATGGAGAAGTTGTTGTAGTATAAAATGTCTTTTAGAAGTTCCATATTGATTTTTGGATAATACATAAAAGTGTTTATAAAGCTAAAAAAAGTTCAATTGTGGGTTAATTGTGGGTTTAGAAAGATGGACCAAAGACATAAACCAATAACTAAAGGGCCAAAAAGTTTTATTTAAAATTTTGATTAATTAATTAATTATAAAAATTAATAATAAAATATTAATCATTAATTAATTAACTAAAATAATATTAATAAGTTAATTATCCTAGTCAATAAAAAAGTCTTAAATTAATTTTTTTTAAATGACCTGACATTGACACATCATCTTAGATAGTGTCACATCGACACATCATCTTAGATAGTGCCACATCATTAAAAAAATTTAAAATTGGAGAGGGGACTAAAATCAAACTCAAAACTTAAAAAAGAGACCAAAATTATGATTTTTAAAATGGGGGGACCAAAACCCAAAAAAATACAAAATAGGGGGACCATAGTTGCAATTAAGCCTTATTATTATTATTATTATTATTATTATTATTATTATTATTATTATTATTATTATTATTATTATTATTATTATTATTATTGTTCTTGTTTTTGTTGTTTTCGTTGTTGTTTTTATTGTTGTTCTTGTTGTTGTTTTTGTTGTTCTTGTTCTTGTTGTTATTCTTGTTCTAATGCTACATTTTTTTTTACTTTTATTAAAAGACATACAACAATGGGTATTTAAAATAGTTGTGGTTATAGGTAGTTCTAATGCTGCATTTTTTAAAAATTTTATTAGAAGACATGCAACAACACGTATTTAAAATAACCGTGATTATAGATAGCGTGATTTCTAGTTTATTACAACAGTTACTAGACCGTGATTGTAAGTATCATATATACAACGACACTCTACATAACAACGTTTGGGCCCACGTGATTATATATCTTTCCCAACCGTTATTAAATATGTTTTCCGTAGTAGTGTTCATTTCTTAATTATGTTTGCTTATAAATTGTTTTTGTTTCTTTGATTATGATATGCCTTTTCGAGTTTGATTATAGAAAAATGACTGAAAAACAGCAATGATACAAACATTATCAACTTCTTAAACATGCTTCAGTACACAAGGAGAGAGCTATTTCGACGCGAGTTGTTAGAGAATCATTTCATGTTGCTGAGGGATTATCTTCTCGTTCTCATGTATCTCCATTAATAATGAATCACTCACAAATCTCATTCTTCTTGTTGTATGTGCATGTGATCCACATCATGCAGCTAAGCCTGATGTTGATGCATTTGGTAGTTTTTCGGGAGGCCCTGAAGAAATTTCACTACTTTCTTTATATGCACACCATGCTGCTAGGCACATGTGGGTGATAGATGTAACATAATTTTTTATTTACTCATTTAAACACTAGTTTTATACTAATTGAACTGCCTGGTGTTGATGTAGCTTTTTGCAATAACATTAAACTTTGAAATGTATAAATCATGGTAGAAAGATATCAATAAAAGCTTCCACAATCAGAAGAACTTTGGTTTCAGGATGTATTGGAACTATATGGGTTGAAGGACTTTTGTAGGAAAGGATGTGATTATATTGAATCATGGTCTATTATCTGTATTTGTTTAAAGATGGCACGTAAAGACAACATCATTTCATATTTTGATCAGTGAGATGACTATCACTTTTGATGATGTAATGTACCTCTTACATCTTTCGATCACAAGAAGATTGTTGGATCACTTTAGAATTAATAGACCTAAGGCACTCGATCTGATTGTGACACAATTAAGAGTTGATCCAAGTAAATCCCAAAGTGAGATAGAAGACACTATAGGATGTCATGGTTGATTTTATTCCTATCAAAAAATTATATTGACAACTTGAATGCAGTTGTGGATGTTGTGAGTGATGATGCACATGTTGCCTATCATAAAGTATGTGCATTTGAAATATACTTCCTATTTTTGGTTGATACAAGCATATTCTTGTGTGCTCAACTATTCCACTTAGGGGTAATTAAAAGACTAACTAGTTTCGAGTTTCTATTAAGTGCATCTTGTTGGATGATATATGTTTTAGCTCCGTCATACACGACCTTTTGAGGTGATATCCTGATACTCAAGATATATGGCTTATGGGTTTTGACTTATGTACCCACATCTACTTGAGCGAGTACTACGATAATTTTAGGTATTTGCAGAGTATACCTAAGGACCCCATATTTGTTGCTCCTACCACTATCCTCTGTAGAGATATTGATGAAGTATTTGCAAACTACCATGAGCATGTGGTGCCAAATGATGTACTTATTATTCTAGCTCCTCATCAATGAAGTAAAATATACAATGGTTTTATATAGTGTACCATCCTTACATGAAACCAGAGGCAGAAGGAAATCCTCTATGCCAACTCATTAGGAGTCACTAGAAAAGGAACATGCGAGGGGCGAACCATGTGTGGATTGCTTATATGACACCATTTTATTGTGCTTGGAAAGATGTCATTGCTAAGAAAGACTTTCAACAAGACACTCTTGAGATGGTCACTTTGGATGTGATATTATCAGAGGAACGATTTGCACTACAATATAGAATGTAGAGGATAAACTATGATGCTGGATATACCCAGTAGTTTTATTTTAATTTGTATTTTTATGTGAACATTTTAAAGGTTTGAGGTGCTTTGACACAAATGCCATGCCTATGGGTTTGAGGTGCTTTGATACGAATGTCATGCCTAAGGTTTTGAGGTGTTTTAACACAAATGCCAAACCTAATTAGTTGAGGTGTCATGATACAAATGCCATGCCTAGGATTTCAAGGTGTTGTAACACTAATGTCGAGCCTACGATTTTGAGGTATCATAATACAAAGGCGAAGTCTAAGTGATGTAATAGGAGTAATCCTTCACTTGATTTCACTTATTAATCATGATTGGATAATGTATGTTCGTGAAAAAAGTTAAGTTTTTGTTGAACAATGGTTACGATGGTAAGAAAGCCCCGACAACAATAAGAGTAAGCCTATTAAGATATGTAAATTGGTGAGTGAGTCACCCTAAGACATAAGGAACCCTAATAACGAATGAGAAAATTAAATTAATACATTAATCCCCTGATTTTATAAACCTCAAATGGGTAAGTCCCAAAAGTAGGATTAAGAGTGTGAGTTATTCCTAATAAATGTTGGGAGTGATAAGTCCTTAGATATCGCATGATTAAGGAGTTCCATATACCTCCTAGGATTGGTGAGTCTTAATACAAGAGGGAACCAAATCACTTAATACTTATTCCTTAAGGGCAATGCTTAGAGGTTTACTTAATCATAATGCAAGTACGAAGCTTGAAGCTTCCATCATTAGGTTGTGCATTTATGTGAGATTGTAATAACTTTATATATGATGATGATAGCTTTCCCTATAGAGTCGAGTGATCCTAAAAGATAGGGAAACTCGCTGAGATTTAGTAATCTCACCCCAATCATGTTATTATTTCTTGAGTGTCGCAACACAAAAAATGACCACAAGTGCATCGCATGCTCGGGGTGATAAAAAGTCTCCATAAAAATTTATTTATTCTAAAAAAGAACGATAAAATATCGATAAAACCCCTAAAGATAACAAAGAAATGGTCGTCGCAAGCAAATCGGGTTTGGGAGTCGATTATGTAATGGGAAAGTATTAGAACATCTCACATCCATTGTACTCAACAAAAACTATTTAGTTAGTTTTGCATTAAGTGTTAGCTTAAAAATGTTTGTGTTCCTCGACTTATTAAAATTTGAGAAAAAGAAAGAATGGCTAAAAATAAGTTTTTTATTAGTGTCTGACGAGACTTTGAATTTCGCTCCTACGTATCTCCAGGTGCAATAGAGAACTCAAGACTACTTAGTTCTAGGTAGAAAATGTGTGTTTGTTGTTCGTTTTAGCGAAAGATATTTTGTCACAATCGAGCAAAAAACCTTGCTTATTACCCATAACAGTGGAGAATGAGACGTTTGTATCACAACAAAATAGATAGAAATATCAATATTCACGGGAAAATGTCGTTAGCTTACTCACAAATATAAGGAGGAATTTTTATTTCGCATCATCTCGAGACGAAGCATCTCCCGTTTATGAAAATAGTTTGAGTTTTAATGCCAAAAGGCAAAAAGGTTTTAATGTGTTGGATTATTTTTTAAATGGATGACGAATGCTCGGATGGTCGAGCTATACGGCTCATATCCAAACACTCGGGGAAAAGCGTGATATACACCATGTTCCTTTTTCACCCAATTAATATTGAAAGGGTTAGATATGATTAGGGGTTTTTTGGTTGGAATATGAATATTCGAATAGCCGAGTTATACAACTCGTATTCAAGTATTTGGGAAAAAATGTGATATACACCAGACCATTCCTTTTTTGTCTGATTTATTATAAAAATGAGATTGCTTAAGATCGATTATTAAAGAGATTTTGGTATCAATAGAGTTAAGAGTTTTAAAAGGATGACGAATGCTCGGATGATCGAGATATACACATTTTTGTATCCAAACACTCGGAGAAAAGAGTGATATAAACCAAATTGTTCCTTTTTCATCTTATTTGTGAAAAGATGTTTGAAAATGATTAAGTATTTTGTTTTAATCTTGAAAATGCACTCGATATGGATCGATGTTTGATTTGCGTTGCAAAATGAATTGCGGAATGAGTTGTTGAGTACGATTATTTACATGTGCAATAATATGAACATTTATAGAGAAATTACCTAATTAGTTGACTTAACACCTTAAAATTGATTAAACAATTAATCAAATAATTCACTTAACAACTAAAAAACAATTAAGTAATTAAATATTCAAAATTCATCAATTTAAAGATTAATTCCTAAATCAATTCACCAAATTGTACATTTAACTAATCAATTAA